TGTTTAACCCACACGTTTTATTCAGGTGAATCTCCTTCATCTTCCGCATCTGATGTTGATAACACAAACAATCTAACAGTGGCAGAGAAGACTGTTTTATCAAAAGGCAGTGGTTCTCATTCTGGAAATCATGTTATTGCTCCTCGAAACCGTCCTAGTCTTGTTCGCCTGCTTGACTTTGTAAGTGGACTGGTTTATGATTTCAGACATATCTGTACTAGTTCACAGTTTTGTTGGATATTCAAGGGTTCTTTTTCCTTTTGTACGTCAAATGACTGCTGAATACTGGAGGAGTCAAGGGATTTCTTCCTTTGATTTAAGTTCTTGTATTTTTTTTGTGTTAGCTACCCATTTCTGTAGGTTAAGCAATTAAAATGATGTAAAATTTTGCAGACAAAGGATGTAAATTCTGCAATGGAGGCATCTAGAAAAGCACAGATTGCTTTTGCAGCTGCCATAAGCGTTGGAGAGGCAGAGAATAAGGACGCTTTCGTTTCAGTTAAACGGGTTATTGACTTCAGTTTTCAGGATGTAGAGGAGCTAATACGTTTGGTGAGGCAAGCTATCGAGGCAATTAATCATAATGGTTTCGGTGACAGTCGAGGTTAAATCAACCATGTAATTTATGTGGTTCTCCATTCACAAGCAGGCCCTTGGATATGGGAAGGAAGTGAGGACCTGCGTTGCAATTTGGTGAAGAGGCATGCTGTTAAGTGTGTTATATTCCTGTACATGTGTACAAAGTGGGATTGATTTGCTATTTCATGAAATTTTGAGAATTCAACTTTTTGGTATATGATAAGGGCACAGATGCTCAACCTTAAAATTTACAGGTTGGGGATGAGGTGTATAAAGTTTCAACTCTTCAAGGAAAAGATTCGGAGTTCACTTGAGATCCAATTTTGAATATTAGGTTCTTTTGGTTGGGAATAGAGCAAAATAGGAGTTTGGATATTGAGAACATTAGTTGACATATCTAAGTAGACATGAGTTTCAATGTAGTCCCAATGTTTCATCCTTTACTAGAGGACTTGGATCCTTGGGTTGCCGTATATAACTTCATTTTTCCTAATGGAACATAAGGCACAATTTTGGTGGAGGAACTTAGTGGAATTACTATGTTATCCGCCATTATTTCTTTTTACTCCTTTCTCTTTAAATTTTTTTATCTGGTGAAAATATATAGAAAAAAGTCACTGATTCTGCCTCACAAATTTGTTCTATGTACTTGGCATATTACTAAAGAATCTGCCGAAAAAAGAGAAAAAGAAAAGAAAAAAAGAGGGGAGGAGATCGTTACAGAATTGCATCTTTTGGTTTGTTAAAGAAAGGATTGGAAAACATGGAGTTAATCACTTAATTCTGCACGCCTGTAATCATCTTATCAGCTTTTGATCTCTTTTCTAAATGAGCCAAGAAAGTTGGGTCTGTGGGTCATTTTTTTTGACAGCTTGGTATCCGTTAGATCTGTTGATCTTAAAAGAACGTGCTGCAGAAGAACTTGAAGTATTGCTGTAAGTTGTGCCATATTACCTTTCCTTTGTTAGGATTTATGAAGATTAAACTTGAATTTCTTTTCAACTGATCTTATTGTGGGGAAATTGCAACAGAAAATCTGTTTAGTACAGTAAATGAATTGGGAAATATGTTCCTCCTGAGACACAGTCAAACTTGGTTGCTCCTTGTGTTCCAGAAAGGCATGCCAGGTAAGTCTATTATATGTGGTCCTTTACTCTTTTCACTAGATGTTGTGTTTCAAGTTTGTAGCCTGCTTAGATAACAATGAACAATTGAATCTGTGTTGCGTGCCAGTAAAAGCTTGCTTCACCGATGACTGACTGCAAATGCATTATTTTTGAAAAGGGATTTTTTTTTCCATAAGGTTCACACCAAATGCGTGATAATTTTATTCAGGTACCTATAGCCATATTGGGCTTAATTTTGTTGTCTTTCAATCTTTGTAACTTTGTTTTTTATTATATATAATTGGTCCAATCCGGACCAAGTTCAGATTTTTTTTTAAAATTTAAAAAGGTACCTATAGTTATATTTCTGACTTGATAGTGGTGTATTTAGATGTCGAGTGGCTATGTGTAGTTGTCTTAATAACTCTTGCTCCTTGTCTAATTATTCTTGATGCAACAAATTTAAAACAGATCAATATGCCTAGTCAAAACTGTTTTAAGCATTTGAGAATAGAAGTTAGGGATGGTAGTTTGTTATATATCAATCTCCTCAGTAGCTTTTGTTTTTGGATTTGATCTAGTTTTGATATTCCATTTGAGCCTTCAGTTTTGAGGGAAAACGAGAGAATTTTGGTGTTCACTAACTGATAACCTTCTATGAACAAGTTGATGGTTAGGCATATTTTGCTCAAGTACTGATAAAATTATGCAATGCAGCATTTTCTGCTCAACCACTGATATAATATAGTTATCTGCACAACAGTTTTTTCCTGTAGTGTTGTGAAAATAAATCCATCTTGGATGACAATATTTGTCGGAAGAGGGGGTGGGGTTAGATCACTCCTGTCAACTCTAGTCTGTCAAACTTGCTTACTTCTATGATGTCCTTGTTCTAATTCCCGGTTATGTGGAGGAAAGATAAGAAACTCCAAGGTAGTTGGAATGGTGATAGTTATAACCCCAGATATTTACCTTGTAAAAGTTGACGTTGTGGTTGCTCTTTAAGTGTCTTGTGCACTGGGAATCTGCATGACTATAAATATGGCTTTGCTTGTGAAATGGTTTTGGAGAATCATTTTTGAAGTGAGTTCTTTGTGGCATGTAGTAGTATTGGGCAGATACGGTAATAGAAATAGGATGATTGGTGAGACTATTATATTCTGTTCACTTCCTGTTGATGTAGTCGTCATATTACAGTGTCCAAGATAGTGAATGATACTGTGGAGGGGATGATAAACTGTAAGGTGGACAGGAAACTGCTGATTTACTGCTTCAGGTATGTACTTTAACATGAGTAACGGAGTATATTCTGCCAGCTGATTTTATATTTGAGGAACCAATAAAAGGCAGCTTCTTTGCATGAGAGTTTAATTGGGCTTACTGGAGATGACCTGGTGCAGAGTCTCAAATTTAGAAGAGAAGGATTCTTGTCAACTTATCTGCTGTGTTTAAAGGAGATGTCACTTTTATGACTAGCACATGTCAACTGAGTCATGCTGGAGCATATTGCTGTGCTGCTCTTTGCTTGACAAGGCGAGGAGGAGAAAAGAATTTCTGCAGGAATTCATCGCGTATCTGCATATTTTAGTGTTAGTACAACACTTTGTGGCTCTGTTATGGCTGGGGGCTGGTCTATAGAGGCCCTTTTTTTCCCTTGAAGAAGCAACTGTTTCATCGGTCAATAACATGTCATAGACAATTTGACATTCCCCCCATTATGGAGATGCGACATCCAGATCGAAGTTGGGTCACAACTGGATGTTAACTTGTAGCATATGTCGGACTGCTTGATTTTAGTTTTAGTTTTAGTTTTGTAATCGTAGCTTTTGCACGTTGGTAAACGTCTGTAATTCGATTAACATCAGGAATTTTAGTTTTAAAAAAATTTCTGATATTCCTTTTTCCTGTCAATGCTATTCTTTTGATTGGCCTGTTTAATATGAACTTTTTAAGTGCTGGAAAGCAGAGGTACAACTCACATGTTTGGATTTTGGGAACTTGTAAAAATACTTGATCACTATGAAGTGAACCCCAAATCAATCCCCCCAGTAGTCTGTAAAATCTGCTACTAGCACAAGGTGAAAATAATATTCTCCTAGTCATCAAAGGCTAAAAGTAAAAAGAAGAGATTCTCAAATCAACAACTGTTGTTTTTTCCTTATTGGGACAAAAAAGTATGTATGGAAGAAAATGTAAAGAATAGCATGCTTTGTCTGAAAGGAAGAAACTCATTAACTCAATTTGGTCAAATGTATCTTTCAAATCCAATTTTACACACCTTTTTCTTCCTCATTTCCAAAAAGCCAACCCCACTACACTTACCCTACACTCTTACCATGTTTAAAAAGATACATTTACTTTTGAAGTTGGGCAAAATTTGGTATGGGTTAAAGGTGTCTTGAGAAAAGGGGGGTGGGGGAGATGAAACAGTCACTAGATTTGGTCTGCACAAATGGGAGACATCAACTTGTAATAACAGTATGGCCCCTACTAGTATTACATTCAATTCCAGTTTCTGCTGCCTCCTGCCTCCCATCAGTAAATGTAGAGGTAATTACCAACTTTGTCTTTTACTTCTTTTTGAGTGAGGCAAGTAGGGACTAGGATTAAGCAATTATAGATTTCTTGCTAATTACAGAAACTCAATTTTATTAAAGTGCATCAGTTAGGGACCTCACACAATAAAATCAGACTTTTACCAAGTACCAACAATTACATCCAGTTCCAGTTCTTTACCCCTTGACAACTGTCAAACTGATTTCTTTTGCAGCCAAGACTATTTTCTACTTCTTTTGGAGTGGATATTTTGTCTTGACATTGTAAATTAGACAATTCTTTCCACAATCATTGCGGGTCTGGATAGGATGGTTCGGATCTCTCCACATATATTTTGGGTTCGAGTATTGGGAATAGAGAACCTTTTGGTAGACAACGTTAATTCTGATTAGTCAAGCCGGTGAACTTTGGTTAGTTAAACTTGAAAAGTTATCTTTAGACAAGTAAATCTTATTTGTTTGAGTTCACCCTTAATGCAACTTAACAGAGGAGTGATCAGTGAAACTAATACACTATTCAATTTTCCCAAAGATATTTAAAAGAAGTAGCAAAAAAGGGAAGAAAGGACAAAAACAACTCAGAATTGTATTCAGAACACAGGATGCTGATGCTATGATCCATATTGAAGGTTGGTGATTGGATGGAAAGGCAATCAATTATACATTTGTATGTGAACATTTCTAAAAAATATAGAATTTGCATGACTGAGAATTTATTAGTTAGGGTCCTACACAATAGCATCAGAGATGCATTCCATATTGTACTATTATGACAGCTACCAAACTGATATCTTTTGCAGCCAAGCACATTTCTTTTTCTTTTGGAGTGGTAGGGAATAGGGAGCCTAATTTGTCTTGTCATGAACTGAATGGTGTAACGATTGTCTCGCTGTTTTCAACATGGACACGGTGAAGTTGAGTTCTGCTTAAAGATGTGGAGTACCGCTGACTAGACAGTAAGACCCTCTAGACCTTACCTTATAGCATGACAGTGACAACCTCAACTAATCGAATGTGTGAGAGGTTGGAGGTGGTGACATACCAATCTTGAAAGACCACTCTTTCGTCTGAAATGCCTAACCGTCACACCAATCATTTGGAGGCAGTATACTGCTAGGTGGGTAGTTTTTCTAGGATGTATGCCTCCTAAATAGTAATAGAGGTATGTGAAGGTAGACTCAAGCTAAGATTACACTCGTGAGCATAATGGTATAAGCCTTCTTGACTGTGAGACTATTGGTTGAACACCATGCACGAGCAGAGGAAAAAGAAAGCAAAATGAATTATTTTTCTCTTTTGGGGAGAAATTCTTTGATTGCATATTGAATACAGATACATGTCTTTCTTATTCCACTAGCTAAACCAAATTCTTACATGTCCTTTTTGCCTATTACAACCTTCTTTTTTGATGTCAAATACCAGAAGCTACGCACAAATTCTCATTGGTTCTTAGTTATTCTTAACAATGATGGCTATTTCATTTAAGTTGTTCGGGTAGCACCATTAGATTTTCAGCAAGGTGTATGTACATGTTCCTGTGGCTCGGATGAGTATTCTTGCTTATATCATCACGAATATAAACACTTCTTTGTTTCTTATGAACATATCATCCCTTTTTTCTTTGCTCTTCTGGAACTGGTGCAAACATAGGTGCTCTCTTCTACGTTGTTTTTCCTTAATTACTGATGGTATCGGGGAAACCAGTGTGTGGGATGCTCGTTTAGCCTCTATATTCATCTCGTTCCTTATTTACCTAGGTGCAATGCGTTTTTAAGAACTTTTTGTATATATTTACAGAAAAAAGTAGCTAAGAAAGAAAGAAAAGACAAAAATAACTCTTATATTAGGAAAGAACTGTACTCAAAACTCAAGATGCTGATGTTATGATCCATATTGGTGGTTGGTGATTGGATGTAAATGCAAACAATTATAGATTTGTGTGTGAGCTGTTAAGGAACTTGCATGACTGAGAATTTATTAAAGTGCATCAGTTAAGGACCCACACAATAATATAGAGATGCACACTCTTACCCTCTATAAGTACTTGACATATTTCTGAATTGTATGCCTAACAAAGCATAGACTTCTACAATCTAGACTAGAAAAAGCCTCCATTTTTCCCAAAAAAAACAAAGTTGTAGTAGTGTTAGAAAATGGCTCCAGTGCCAAGTTTTCCTGTTAAAGTTGGTCACATTGATGATGTTCAAGAACTGAAAAAGATTAAACCATCTTCTATTCCTGAAAGATTTGTAAGAGACATGATAGAAAGACCAAAACTTGCCACAGCTACTACTCCATCTTCCTGTAATCTTAACATTCCTGTTGTTGATTTGTCGAAAATCTCGAATAGCCAGGATTTTCATAATGAAATCATGAAGCTTTCTACTTCTTGTGAAGAGTGGGGATTCTTTCAGGTATGTTACTTGTGTTTACAACATACTGATTACAAAATACCTAAGTTGCTCGGACTCTCCAAAAATGTTGCCGCACTTGTGTCGGATCCTCCTAAAATGCACTAGTTTTGAAGGATCCGACACGCATCTGATGACGTTTTTGAAGAGTCCGAACAACATAGCAAAATACTATAGGCTTTCTAATTTTGTTCCTTTTTATCATTGTTTATAGGTGATTAACCATGGGATTGACTTGGACTTGCTTGAAAAGATGGAGAAAATATCTATGGAGTTCTTCATGTTACCTTTAGAGGAGAAACAGAAATATCCAATGGCTCCTGGAACAGTTCAAGGTTATGGTCAAGCTTTTGTCTTCTCAGAAGATCAAAAACTTGACTGGTGTAACATGTTTGCTCTTGGTGTGGAACCTCATTTCATTAGGAACCCAAAACTCTGGCCAACTAAGCCACTTGATTTCAGGTAACCTTAAACTTCAGCTACAGAAAAAAAGTATTGAAAAATACAACTGTCGGATTAGCAAGTGTAAATTTGTAGGGACCACCTTAGATTGACTACTAGTTTTAAACAAGAAAAGTTCATTTTTCTTGTTATGGTGGTGTCCGGTCAATTTGCGCACACCTGATTGTATACTCTCATCAGCACAGATACTGAGTAACTCTGTAATGAAATAAAGTCTTAGGAAATCATCTAGCGACTAGCGTTGTGTGCATCTATTGGAATATTTTAGTCACACCCTTGAATAGATGCTCAGTTTTCGCTCTTTTTGCAGTGAAACGGTGGACATATACTCGAGAGAGATAAGGAAACTATGCAAGAATTTGTTAAAGTACATAGCAATGAGTCTTGGATTGAATGAGGATATTTTTGAAGAAATGTTTGGAGTAGCTGTACAAGCAGTGAGGATGAACTACTATCCAGCATGTCCTAGACCAGATCTTGTTTTGGGATTAAGTCCCCACTCAGATGGAAGTGCACTGACAGTGTTGCAACAGGGTATATGCAGCAGCTCAGTTGGCCTACAAATACTTAAAGACAATGTTTGGGTACCTGTCCAACCAATTCCAAATGCACTTGTTATCAACATTGGTGATACCATTGAGGTGTGCACTTGTTATGTTTATTGTGCTAATAGCTTATATTTCTAAACGTGCGATGACTACTGAATAATAAAGCCTTTGATCTTTGTATTCGTTTACCACAGGTTCTAACCAATGGGAGATATAAAAGTGTGGAGCACAGAGCAGTGACACATCAAGAAAAAGATAGACTATCTATTGTGACATTTTATGCACCAAGTTATGAAATTGAGTTAGGACCATTGGCAGAATTGGTTGATGAAAATAACCCTTGCAAGTATAAAAGGTACAATCATGGAGAGTACAGCATGCACTATGTAACAAACAAACTTCAAGGGAAAAAAACTCTAGAGTTTGCCAAAATCTATGACAACTAATCCCTATAGAGACACACTATTAACTTAAGATGTAGACTATTGACATAATAATAATGTCTTTTGTAAATTCAGTGGGCAGTTTGTGTACTGTTAATATGGAAAGCTCTCTTTGTATAACCTATACTTATTGGAGTATAACATAATGGAAGCAAAGTGGGGTCTTGTGTTTGGAAATTGTGCACTTTAGTCTTTTTGTTCCTCTTATTGCTTTTCAAAAGGAGCTACTCCCTCCGTTCTTAAATATTTGTCATGTTATATTTTGCACGCTCCTTAAGATTTACATTAATTAGAAGATAATTTGACTAAATTATCATTATTTATTATCCACTCTATTTGAACTTTTTCTCTTTTGCATCATATTAATATCTCTCGGAAAAAGGGTTTAATATATCTCTCAACTTAGTTATTTAAAGTTGATATACCCCTAGTTATAAAAATGGTTCATATATACTTCTTTCTTTATAAAAATGACTCATATATATCTCTACTGTTATAAAAATGGTTCACATATATTCTTTTATCTAATGGAATTGAAAAATAATTTTAAATTTATTTTCCCGACTTTAATTCTTAAAGAGTTCATGTAGGGGTATATGATCCTTTCCACACATGTTTTTTTTACTTCTTTGATTATCAATATTTATGTTTCTTATTCTTATTTTATTTTATTTTTTCTTTAATTCTTTAGTGTAAAAATATGAGATTTTTTTTTTGAAAAGAAGCGTGAATTGAAAAAAGAAAAAAGTAAGAAAAAAATTTAAAATTATTTTCTTCCGTATGTATTGTAATTTATTTTTGTATTTGTAAAAAATAAAAATTAGGGCATATATGACAATTTTACAAGAAAGTTAATAAAAAAATAAATTTGACAATCAAAATAATAAATTCAAATTAGACGTTGAATAAAAAAAGTCAAAAAAATACGTGTGGGAAAGATTAAATATACCCCTATATGAATGTCTTGTTTTCATAAAAAATTTAAAAACTAAATTCAAAATTGATTTTTTTTCACTTCCATTAGAGAAAAAAATGATATACGTAAGTCATTTGTGTAACCATGAAGAGTATATATGAGTCATTTTTTAACGATATCTCTCCATTTTTATGAATAAGGATAAAGTGGAAACAAACAACTAATTATGTCTTGATTTTCTAAAATAACAAACATTATAAATCATCTATTTTTAGTAATGATAACAAGTATCATGTACTCTCTACCGTCTATGTGGGAGCTTCAATGTCACTTTTTCACTATTCTGCCTACAAAGATTCTTAATGAGGAAAGAAGCATTGTAGAATTATGAGAGGAAGGCACCACCACCCATGATTTTCAATAGAATCACTTAAATTCAATAGACAAAACCATTGGCTTTCCATTGTTTAAGGGGAAAAAAATGTCCCAACTTTTCTTTATGACTAGTGGAGGAAGATTAAAGATCCCACTAGGCACTAATATACTACAAGTTGTCATGAGATTTTGGTCAATCCTATGTTCAAAGTTGAAGCTTTAATTTAAGTATTAATAACAAGAAGAAGTGTTGGGTATAGCAATTAGCTAAGTGTCACCATCCTGCTAGTTATTATACAAACATTTTTCTGTTAAATATCATACCTTATAAATATCATAGTGTTGGTGTAATTAGATATCAACTAGTGAAGAGAGAAAAAAAAGTGAAAAATCTATTACTCCCTCTGTCTCAATTTATATGGAATTTTTCACATTTCGAGATTCAAATAAGTATATCTTTGACCATAAATTTTCATATATCTTTTAAATATTTTGAATTTTCAATTATTGTGACTTATAGTACTTTTTACCTAGTTTACAAATATATAAATTTCATTTAATTTTTTTTTTGAAGATTTCATGCGCAAATTCCCGGCCAAACTTAAACTGTTTGACTCTCGAAAAATGAAAAATGTCACATAAATTGAAACATAGGGGGTACTATTTTTAGAGAAATATTGAAAACACTTTTGAATTTGACATAATTTATTAGTTTTGTCCCAAACTATTGACAGTCTTAAAAACACTCATCTACTTGACTAACTAAACTTAGATATACTCCCGATCTGCCACATGACATAACAAGTGGTCTCAAACTCTTATAGGAGCATGGAGCTCTTGATAAAAAATTGAGAGAAGTGTTGAAAACACCTGTAAACTTGGCGAGAATTTAGGGATATATTTCATTCATGTTACAAGATCAGAAGTGTATAGTTAAGTTCGGTTAGTCAAGTAAAGGATTGTTTTAATAATTCTCGCCGAATCTAGGAATATTTTCAATATTTCTCTCTATTATTTTCTTTTGAATTCTTATAAATTGAATCAACACATAACTAGGATTTAGGGAGCTAGAAGGGTGAAATTTTAGCATTTTTGGTCTAAAAAGTATGGAGAATAAAGCAAGTTAGGCTTGGTACAATTTAGCCACAACATATCTAACAAGTTCATCCCAAATAAAGAAAAGAAGAGGAATTTTTTTTTGCCATATTCCACATCAAAGATAAACGAAATCTTCACAAGGAATCTAAACCAAACATATATTCGTAATTAAAAACTTCAGATCTTGACTCTTTTGAATGTGACATTCATCTTGAAAACAATCTATAAAATAATTCTTATATTACTTGCACAATGTACCGTAAAGTGATAAATATATGATACATGTCTTTTAACATAAGCTTTATGCTTGATATGATTATTCGATATGTTTTTTTTTTTCAATTTCAATTTACGCCGTATCCATGGTGAATTACTAGTTTCAATAATTTAATATGTTCTTTTCGCTTTGCTGGTTTAATAAAAATCAGAATGTACAAGTGTATGCCACTAAATGGTTAATTAACATTAAAGTTAGAATATAGAAATGTGTATCAATGAATGATCGGTGAACGCTATTTCTACTTTAAAGAGGATTGACCTATTAACCATTTTTGGGATGTCTCTTGGAGATTAATAAATTATCATAATAAACTTACTGTTATAAAATAATATAGTGTGGATGTCCACTACTTACTACATAACCTCCACCTTTATGATCATTATTCTTGTAACCTTTCACCTCCATAACCTCCTCCATTATATTCATGTTTAATGTCATGTTTATGACTAACTTTTTGTATGCCTCTATGTTACACTATAGATAGAGGCATAAGGGTTCATATTGTACACACTTGAAGATTTGATGAACATTTGAAAGAAAGAAAGTTATCTTATATTGTTCATCTTGTCTTATATTCTTCTTGTCTTCATCTTTATATTGTTCTTTTGTTCTTAAGTTTTACAACACGTTATCAACACGAATGTTCTACTATTGCACTTTGCAGGATTGAAGCAAGGTAAATAAAAGAAGGTAAAATAATTGTGTTTATTTTTCTCTCGGGAACAAGGTAAATTATTGTGGAATCTATTTTATATTTTACTTGTGAGCACGGTGAATGATTAATATTATTGTTACTGTACATTTTTTTTTCACTTATGACTATATATACTTTCTTTTGTATGTGAAACTTATTTTATATTTCATTTATGATTATGCTCACTGTTTTGGTTATTACATAAGCTTTTAAATTTATTTATTTTTGTGTGTGAAATATTTTGGGTTCACATGGAAATTGAAAAAAAGGTGGTGGTAGTGAGCATTTTTATTTTAGTGTAATTAAAATTATTATTTTCTTAGTGTGCAATTGATTCTTTGATCTATAACGGTAATTCACTAGCTTAATTATTGTGCACCAAACATAATATAATATATTGCTATGTGTAACTCTATGTTTTGACAAGTTTAAGATATTAGTACATGCTTTGTTGAGAATAATTTAATTGTGTTTCTTTTGTTCTATATTTATTTGTGCATGTTAATCATAAAGTGACTATTTTTTTAAGGCTCAATGGTGAGTCCTATTTTATTTGGCTTATTATGTCATTGATTGAGGGTAAGACGAAGGATTCAAGTCCTATCGCACCAAGAGGATAATACATCGGGTGAGAGTCCCGGTGCATCATGATAATAAAATGTTGGGCTGGGTCTCAACAAATAATGACCTAAAATGCCTTCTTATGGGTAAGACGTTGGGTTCAAGTCCCAACGTTATATAATGACGATGTAATGATGACTGAGTAAATTAATATGCTCTTGATAAAAGTCATGAAACTTGTCCAATTGATTTGCTCCATTCTCTTATGTGAATGTGGTAGCAGTGCATAATATGTCTGAAAAATGACAAGTGGTTGAATGTATGAATATGGGTGTGGTAAAATGTTAATGGTCATCATTGTGGTAATTAAAAGGAAGAACATTATGGGTTCTTAAGATGTTCCTTCAAATGTGAAGGTAATTTTGTCCATTAAAAGTGGTATAAAAGGTTATTGGACACATTATTTCTTAAGATGGTCCTTCAAATGTGAAGGTAATTGTTAAAGGTAATTTTTATCCATCAAAGTGGTATGAGAAGTTATTGGGCACATTGTTGTTGGTGCAACCCAATTTGAAAAGTTTTTATAAAATCCTCCATCAAAATAAAGGAATACAAAGTGGTAGTACAATTGGTACATTTGACCTCTTAAAGTGATGTTGAGGTGAGTCACATAAATTTAACAATGCCAAAGCATGACAATGAGTTTCTAATAAAAACTTGTGGAGCATGTACAAATGGTTATGGTCCATTTCTTGAAGAAAATGTGACTTGTGTTTGTATGGATAATAACATGTTCATGTATTGTTGGATGAATGTCACATCTCACCTTTGCAGGAGGTTTGAGAGATTGAAAGGAAATATTTGACATAAATGGTCATTTTGGTCATATACTTTGAGTACTACATAAATATTGTGGTATGTTTTATTATGAACTATTGGAGGACAAAAGAAAGAAATAAATCTTTTTTAAATATATGTTGTTGTGTGGCAACACAAATTTCTCATTGGTTGTCAAGAAATAAGTCCTGCATGTAATAATTTTAACCATGACAATAATAATAATTTTCTCCTTGAAGGAGATGGTCACCATAAAAATGGTGTTGTGAAATTTATGGTAGTACACAAAATTAATTGAGAGTTCTGAAAGAGCTAATTCGTTACTATTCGGAATGAAATTGTTCATAATATTGAAATTGTAGTAAGTTTCAAAAGAAACTTTTTAAGTTTCGGAGGAATTGAAAAAAAAAAA